ACAGAAGAATTAATTGCAAGTTATGTATGTTAATAATATAATTTAATCATGGAGGCTTGAGCATAAAATACCTCATCTTTACACAGCAATGTGAAACAGCGCCCAGATTGCCCAGCCCTTGCAGTCCGACCAGCTCGATGGATATATGTCTTAATAAACGCAGGCATATCATAATTAATAACATTTCTCACACCCTCAACGTCCATTCCACGAGTCATGGCATCAGAACTAACAAGTACTTGAACCTCCCCTCCCCGGAAAGCATTCAGTGTTTTGCTGCAGAACATATGTCAATTTAAACACCAGGTATCGAAATATAATGAACAGCAGAGAGAATGAAAGCAAAACTGTGTTATGCTCAAATATGAACATGTCCAGAGATTAAAATGATAAATGGTACATACAGCAACCCATAAAGTGATGATCTCCATGGGACAAAAATGCTCATCGATGTAAAGTCAGCTAAAGAGTGTCAATTAAAGACAGATTTTCATACACATATATCAGCATTTTCCAGTAAAAAGAAAACACTCTACGAAACAGACCTGGTCCACATTTAATTGTAGAATAATCTGAAGCAGTATTCTACATTATAACATTATAATTTCTTATGTCGGAAGCTTGTAGCAAAGAAAACAAGTAGGGCTGACTATGAAGTCCATGAACCATAGTCCAAGAAAATAAGAGAAGTCTTAGGCTTCATATTTCACATGCTTCAATTACTTCTGGCAATACTTAAATGGGGAAGAACACACTTAAGCTAAAAAACAATCTTCCTGTGTTACCTTCTCAATGATTGACGTTGAAGCCCCGAATACTCTTTGATCTTGAGTTGCAAGTCATCGAAGAAGTTTAGTAATGTACATAGTCGATGAGTAGACTCCACAGAGGATGTAAAAACAATACACTTTTCTCCTCCTAAGCTTTGAAGTAGGGCAACCAGATATAATGGTTTGAGTTTTGATTCACAAATCTGCGAAGAAACAATTTGAAACTAAAAGGTTGATAAAGAAGTATTAACTATGTAAACAAAGCTTATGAAACATTATCCCCTTTATCATCATTGTCCAAATGTCATGGTATCGGCCATTGACTAAGGTCTAAGAGAAGCCAAGACAAAAAATTTAGTGATCTGGTTTAACATCAGGTAATAGGGAAGGTACGGATAAAAGGCTTAAAAAATTCTATAAGAAAAAGGAAAAGAAAGAAAGAAAATTATATAGACTGAGTTGTGTATCATAACGTTTCTTCACATGGAACAGTAACTTTTTTGATACAACAAGAAGATATAAAAGATATAAATAGAACCAATAATTATAGGATCTATCATTATGGAAATTGACGATGGACATGAAACGAAGCAAACTTAACAGTTGGGAAATATATCTCCTAGTATCCTGTTGTCAACAATCAACAAGTACGATTGTTTAAGACAAATGGCATCCAAATCCCAAGGTCAGTGAAATCCCCTTCTAAGATCAAGGGTGTCCCATTTCTATGGTTAAGCATACACTTTTTCCTTTCTAAACGAGCACCCAAAAATTGATTCAATCCCAGATTAATTATGAGACAAGCCAATTTACCGTCATGTATGATTCTAATTTCTCTGGAAGTTTGTATCTTCTTTTCCCAGTAGTTAAGAATAGAGGGCGATGCAGATCAAGCTGAGCAAGCTTGCCTGGATCCTGTGTAAGCGTTGCAGATAGAACCATCTTTGAGAACCTTGGGTAACATGCACCCTTAAAACCCCTCTCTATACCACTGCATTAATTCAACAGTATCTGCAATCAGGACTACAGTTTTATACCACAGGACATTTTGAGAAAACCAAAATGTGTCAGAGATAAAAATGATTAGGAGGATTAGTAATAACAATTATGTACAATACTTCAAAAGTATAACCATAATTACGAGAAGTTAGAACTTACAATCTTCTTATGGTTTTTAAGGATCCAGCAGAACAAGGAAGTGAAGTGTAGGAAGGAAAGATAATATTCTCATCATCAACATGCGTCAACTGAAGCACAGTAGGTAGCCAAGATTGATATGATTCCCTTAATAACCTATCAGTTTCATCGATAACCTGAAATCACATATCTCATCAACAGATTGTATTGAGACAACAATAGCTCAAATTTTGGTAAATAATCTTTAAGGTTTCTCCTCACAATGAGATTACTTCAATATTCAGAATAACAATGCACAACAGCATACCAATTCGAGAGGGTGGTGAGCTCTCCATAAAACTGTAGACATAGGCTAACAATTCAAAATATAACAACATTTTTTATGGGAAACAGAAACCATTTCATTGATGTATGAAATAGATACAAAAGATAGTCCTATCGAAGATAATCACGAAAAACATCTCCATTAAGATTGTAGGGTAGATAAACTATAATTACAAAAAGGAGGTGAGAGATGACTTCAAGATGAAGTAAGACAAGAAGTAGACTCAATAAATAGATAGGAAGTTTTGTTTTGGTGTGCACTGAGCAGGATACAATCAACAATAGAGAAAAATTCACCGAGAAAAGAAATTAAGTAGGCTCAATCACCCATCACAGCTATATTGATTTTTAAAGATTAATTTTCATACTAATAAAGAAATACTGATTTAGGCTATAGTTCAATCAGCGTATTTAATAAGAAACACTTGCAGGCTGTGAAACGTATAGTTTCTGTAATGAGAACAAATATACATTAAAAGACATTCACCACTTAACACAGTATATCTCTTTTTCAAAAGACATTCACCACTGCATATGGCATCAGCATTAAGCCTCCTCCAATATAAATGTAGCTACAAATCTGCGGTTATAACAACACTATGAGTACTTACAAGATAACGTAGATGCTGAAGAGTAAACCCTTTCGTGAAGTTAATATGGTCCATCAATCTTCCCGGTGTTGCCACCAATATGTCCACAGAACTCTGCAGCTGAACTGAAAAATCTTCTGGATCATAACAGATGCCCGCCTCAAGCTTAGGTCTCTTGATGAGACCAGCAATCTCATCTGCTATGGAGGATTGACCCACAGCCAGACCTACAGATAAGCCCACTGCAGGTGCAATCGCAGCAAAAACCTCTTTCACCTTGTTAAAGAGAGCCATGACCCAATAAGAACATGAAGAAAATTTTCTTCTAAAATAAGCACGTATTCATATTAGAATGCTAAGCAGGTGAGAGTCAATCCAAAAACCAGAAAAAGAAGTCTGCTCTCATTTTCATATTTTATTATTTCATTGTCAAGGTTCTTGGACAGATTTTAGAATGAACCTACGTTATACTAAAATAGTGCACTTCAAACCAATAAACCGGAAACTTGTAACATGAATTTATGCATACAAAAAAAAGTAATGGCAATAAAAATACCTGCAAGGCCAGATCACGAGTAGGCAACACAACTAAAGCACGTAAGCATTTGACTGTACGACTTGAAAGCATTTGCACTATCGGTAGGGCATAAGCTAAAGTTTTCCCACTTCCAGTTGGTGAATTAATACATAGATCTCTCTCAAACGAACCAGGCCCTATCGCCTCTTGCCAAACTGCAAGTTGCACTGGGAACAGTGAAGAGATGCCCATGTTCTGCAAAGCTGCCTTCAATCTAGAAAAGGAAACAAAATTATCATAAAAAAAAAAAAACCGTTAAAAATCGACCCTTGAGGAAGAGATCGATACAAGAATATAAAACTTGATAATCTAAACATATGGAGCATAATCTAAGCAATACAGGAATAAGCGAACATTCAATTGCCATCGATACAATTCACATATATATATATTACTATTAGGCCTGTGCTCTTTTAAACGTAAACAACATTTTACTACTCGCCAAATCTTCGAAGAGACAACCAACAGTAGATTCACTTGCATCCAACGGATTGCTATATATGATGAATATCAAATAGAAGTAATAGAAGTAAATTTGAAGCCATAGACCAGATTGAAAGTTCAAATGAGTAGGAAGAAAGAGGAAACTGCCTGGGGTCGAGCGAAGGGAGGATCTCAAGAGGGCATTCCTCGAATAGAGACACATCCACAGGGCTTCGCATCCATGGTAGAACAGGAATGCTCTTTCGCTTCTGCTTCTCCACCATTGTCTCACAAACAAAGCTTCCGAATCAAAAACCCTGCAGCGCTAGGGTTTTAGACAGAAACAGAACTTCCAACCAGAATGGAGGGAAACCAAGCGGGCTTGTATTTTACCACCAAAAAAAATAATAATTTATTCTTAAATTTTTAATTTTATTCTATTATAATTTATTCTTTTTTTGGAAAATTCATAAAGAAAAAACTATATTATAATGTTTATAATGAATTTTTAAATAGATAAGTATTTTATATATATATATATATATATATATATATATATATTTAGAAAAAAAAGAAGATAAGAAGACAAAAGAACTCTGCAATGGTGGATTCCAAACCAGGATCTTCACGGAGGTTGTTCGTACAAAACGAGCCCAATTCATAGATTCATAATACTCATGGTAGGATGGTGCGTTCACTTTTGAGTATTACACCGCAAAATTTATGGCTGCGCTTCGCCGTCGTCAGATCATAAGGTCTCAGTGGCGGCGCTTTTGGGAGGCGCAGGATGCTTTCTCGGATTCCGAGGCTTCCCAGAAACTGCTCCTGTTGTCGGTGGTTTATTTCTCATCGATCGGATACTCATCCAGTTCTTGTATCCCTTGGAATCTGATCGGCAGGTAAATGACGCTTCGTTTTTGTTTGTTTTTTGGTTGTATGATTGTCGGGGAAGAGAGTGCAGAAATTGTTGATAATTAGACCTAGTATGCTTATTATTACTGCAAATTTTCTCCACAGCTTCTTTGTTTAGGTTAGACTCCACATCGAGTTCTTCTTTTTATCGTCTTCTTTATAGGATTTAAAATTGCCAGAGCACCAAATGGTACTGAAAATAGGTCCATTTTGAGTTCAACGATCGAATATTGTTTGTATGATCTGGAAGTGTTTGCCTAGCTAATATAACTCGAACGATTGTTCATCCTTTCATGAGGACCAAAAAAGTAGCTATATTGAGTCTATTCTCTGTTTCTTCCTCAACATACAGATACAACAAGATAATGAACAAACAAATTCTATTTCACCTTCAAAATTTACAAACATACAGATACAGACACACCAAGAGGCAATTATACCTGACATTCTATATGTTCATATGCTTTAATCATCCAAAAGAACATGTAGAACTCTTGCAAGCAAATCAGATCTATTGCTATAATCCGTCCAGCCAGGCTTGGACATTTCAGCAATTGATTGTCCTGACCTACCCCTACCGCTTGTAGTTTCAACTTCCAGTAAACTGAACTTTGAAGGTTTGCCTCTGTTATTAAAAGAAGGCATCTTGGGAAATGAAGGCTGTCCATGCTTCCTATGATCATGACACAAACAATAAGGCTTGATTCATTTTGGTTTTCCTGAATTGATATGATATAGATAGATGATTCAGTGACTGCAAAGAAAATGGTACCTGGAGGATAGTGAAAGCCTTTTCAGCGACATATTTTTGCATGTCTGTGGCTCCTCTTTGCTGCAGCTTGTCTGGGTGGAGGCACAATCTTGCCTTTTGGTAAGCTTTCTTCACCTTTGTACCCTCCATAAGGCTTGCAAGTGGAGTTACATGCCACCCACTTCTGGGCCATAGAATCTGCATAATTTGTAAGCAAAACTATATGTCAATTTGCATATCAACTTCATGTCATTGCAGCGTTAGAAAAAATGAGAAAAGAAAATCTCTTACATGGTGGAGTGTTGAAAGTAGGAGCCGGATGTTGGTTTCCTTGCCGGATGACCACAACATTATATCTTCATCTATATCCTCCATTTCCATCTGAAATATTCACAACGCAATTACAAATCAAAATCTTCTTCCTTCAAAGGGACTGTGGGCAGTAATGCCAAGCCTAGATCCATAAAGAAAACCGATTCTGGCATGTTTTGTGTTAGGAATTTAATTGTGTCAAGGCCATGAACCTTTTCGTTCCCAAAGAACAAATTTATTTTAGTTCCATTAATAGCAGAAGCTTACATCTTTTTCAGACTCTGCCTTCACCCCTTCAGCTGAACACGTTCTTTCTTCTACCTTCAAAAGAAAATATACGTAGAGAACATGTCAAAAACTTGAACTAGTAGCAGATCAAACCAAAATTTTCCTTCATTTTGTAGGGGAATGGATTCAGTGATTGAAAATACAGAATAGTGAAAAACGAAACTTGTTTTATGCAGAAACAATTGTTGGATGATCTAGACTGGAAGGAGCTGTTTCTCATATTTTAGATGATCTCAACGATTTCTTCCTGTTGTCGTTAGAATGATAAAATTTCGAGAAACAGGAGTTTACCTCTGCATATTGTGTTATGTCATGAACCCCAAACTGTTCACCAGAAATTTCACATGAAACAGTAGGCCCTGCTAGATATTACCAATGAAAATTATTGGTTGATTTCCAATATAGAACAATCGTTAAGTCGAACAAAGAAATGGTGAAAGTACCTTCAGTTTCAACAAATTGTTGACTATCATTCAGCCTTGTGCTCAAATCTGTCTCAGAAGTCTGTGTATTAAACTTTTCTTTTGCCCATGCAATGACTTCATCAAGTGCAGCTGCTTCGTTTGTTCCCTCTCTGTAATCAGAACCAATTTCAATGACATAAGAGCTCATTACTTCGTCATCTTCATCTGCCAACACATTTATTTGAATATCATGTTTCCCCTGACACAGTGAAGAGCTTGCAGATGACGGGGAATTAGGTTCTAAATCATCCACTGATATTTTCATGCTCCTGTATGAAGTTGGTTCAAGGCTAATAGTTTCCGGTGACGACACCGGCCGAGGGAACCCCGAATAGGAGCTCCTGAAAGTTTCCTTCACTTCACCATCAACGTACTGGTTTTCCACGGTGGAAGAACGGTTGAATGAAAAGAATGACATCCCTTGTTTCTTTTGGTGCTCCTCTGGTTTCATCTTTGACGAGTTCCATTTTGTTGGGATATTGATAGGCCTAATACATCAAAACAATCAATGATACCCACAAATCATTAGTTGCTTGTTTTTGACAACAAAACTCAGACCACCCTGTTCTAAAACTAATCAACTGATGTCTGCGTGAATTTCAACTTTAAGAAAGAAATCACAAACAAAAGGGGAATAATCAAACCAAAACACTGTTCTTGTTCCAAGTGGATTGCCAAGAATACTATAGAGCTTTTCAGAATCAAATGCAAATCTCAGCCTCCAGACAAAATAGCAATCAGTTTCAGAAGAAACTTTGATACACAAGAAGACGACGTACCCTAAACCCTTGTATTTGTCCACAACCCCATAAACCCGCTAAAACCAAGCCACACTGACAGGGAAAACTCGTGATGTATCCCAAAAGTAGTTGAGCAGGAAAACCGATACCGAATAGCCACGTACCTGAGCTTCGCAGCGAAGGAGGATAACACGACGTCGTCTCCGCTTACATGCCGGAAAGGGCTCGCCTCCTCGGAGCTCAACACCGACGAAGAGTTGGATTTCGTCTTCCCTTTCAAGTTCTGCCTCGTCTTATCTATCGATCGCCGCTCGTGATCGGATCCGAAAATATCGTTGTAAAACCCCTCGCCTCCTGACGGAATCCTGAATACCGGTAAGCTCCGACCAGCATTCTTTGCAGACGAGAAGAATTCCGGCGGTCGGAACATTTCTTCGTAGAAGAAATCGAACTGCTTGTGTCCGAGTTCTCCGGATGACTGACGCGAGAGGACACTTCGCGGCGGGCCGCCAAAGACGTCGGAGAAGTCGTCGGGATGGTTCAGAGCTCTGGCACCTTTGGAGAAGGACCGAATCGACGAGCTTTCAGTCGATCGCCTATGAGGGAGGTCCGGCATCCCCATCCTCATCCTCCAAGATTCGTCCATCTACTGGAAAAATCACCGGCGAGAAGGGGAGCTTAGACGCCGGAATATACTGTGCCAAGAAAGTGTACTAAGCTTATATATATAGAGGAATGAAAAAAGAAAGGAGCTTTATAAAAGGTGATCATTTCCCCCTTCTTTACACAACATTGAGTCTTAATAATTAGTTAAATTTTAGAATTATAATTGAAAAAAAACAAAAAACTACATTTCTAGTGGTTCAATAAATAACTATATAATAATATCATTTCACAATTAATATTCAATTATTAGAAAATATCTCTTTCTTAATAAAATATATTTTTTCAACCATATAAACATATTAATATAGATTATTAAATATTTTTTTCACCATTCTTCTTCGTAACTTTTTTTAAATAAAATAATATGCTTTTATTTATGTCTGAACTATTAAAAGTTTTATTTTATCAATATTCTTAATTTCCTATTTGATAACTATTTCTTTTTTTTTAATTATTTCATAATTTAGAAAAAAAAATATTCAAATATTTTTTTAAAGAAATATGCACAATTTCTTTAAAAAAAACCTAACAACTATCAAACTCGACTGCTCTCTGTGTGTATATATATAGAGAGGTTTATACATAGTCACGACCTCATACCCCTAATCGTGAAATATTATTTCATCACGTTTTATATTTCAATCTCGATCTAAATAAAATATCTTTATGTAAGCGAGGCATTACACAATACAAAACATAAAAAATGCAACATTTAACATTATCCATTTAACATCTATCTTCTTGAATTCTTATATGCTTGTCCCACTTGTATGCTTGTTCGTAAATCATTCATTTTATGTTATGTTATTTCAAAACACATTACACAATTATATAAAAAAAAAAAAAACGCATTTGATGGTATTGATCTTTCTATATGAACGATAAAAATTTTGAAATTGTAGAACGATAATGATTATTTTGTTTACTTTTCCTTTTGAAGTTACAAAATATTACTCATTTTTTTCGATATTCAAGACACCTTTTGTTGGTTCATGAAATATTTTAAAAGCACAGTTCTATCGTGGCCATTGATAATGACGTTAAAAACAATGACAGTAACCCTAACAACAACATCGAAGAGGACAATAACGACAACGACAACCACACTACAATGTGAAAGAAATGAAATGTTCGAGATGAAAATGGGAATAAAAACAAATGAAGACATAGCCAATGTCTCATTTGACTATGCCAAATGACAACACATTCCACCTCCCCTCACTTGCTATTCATCGTGTCAGAAATGAAATCTTTGTGCTTCACAGCTTTAATTCCTTTCATTTTTTTCCTTATTTCGTAATGAAAATCAAAACCATATACGTGGATAAACACCAAACCACTTATTTAAGAGATGATATTTTCAATCAATTCGTTAAAACAAGAATACAGTAATCTTAAGCTACTATTTACAGAGTCGAGATTTTTATATATTCAAACGAATCCATAAGTAAAATGAATCAAAAAAATGAAAAAATGGGATGAACTTAACATGAAGAAGAGGCAAAAAGCTAAAAAAAATTGTGAGGTTGATAAAGTTTGAAGGGAGAAGAAAGATCTTAGGCCACTAAAAATGGAAGAAGGACATGAAAATAAGGAAAGAAACAAGAGAGTTGGGACAGATATGATAGCAACAAAACAACAATACAAAAGTGGGGAGCCATCTGCTTGAGGACACTTCATTTGGTCAGTACCTACTGTCCTTCGAGATACAAACCCAAGACAACCCCAATCTCATGGTGGTTCAAATGGGGTATGTCATGTGGGAATACTTCCAAATTCTTTTGTCATTTAGCCATCAAAACCCGAGCCCGTCAGGTGGGTGGCAAGAGCACCGGACCAGGCGGAGCACTCGAAGAAAGGGGGACACATTAAGCAAATACGAAAAATGTTATTTAATGCACCTGTCACTGTGTTCTTGACATGATCATGATATCGCAATAAAAAAACCATCTTCTAAACTCTTTCAGATATTTAATCAACATGAACATATCTCAACAATTACGAGGTAAATTTTCATCGTTACTTTTGTTGAATTGAAACAAACATGTCTAATAGCTACAAAATGACAGTTGTATGAAACGATTTCTCATAATTAGTGTTTTCACTAATTTTTGTACACTAATGAAGCATAAATCACATGGACAAAAGAGTACAAGTGACTTTATTTCCAACAATAAAATCTTTATACATCTCTATCAATTTTGTACATTATTGGAAGGTTTAAGTCACCACACCAAAAAAAAGTGAAGCAAATAGCTTAATTCTCTTTATAGATTCTTCATTTATAACCTCAAAACCATCTCATTTAATTTTTAATAAACTTTCACGTTACCTTAGTAGATCCACAGGTCGAGTCGAGGCTCTGAGTTCTTTCTTTCTGTGTAGGACGATGCGAACAACCAGACTACAGCTCAATTTTGAATTTTTCCTGCATGAGAGACGAGTCCAGAATTAGTTGAATGCTATCTAAATAAGTCTCCCTATAGCTAACTGGATAAGTTCACTTGAAACACGCCGCCGCTGCAAGTAAACGGAAGAGGAGCACTGCCATCGCCGGAGAAGGAGATTTCTCCGGCGAGGAGAAGTTTACATGGGAAGGGAGCTGGCGGCTGCTGGAGCCCACGAAGCGGAGGGGGAAAATTCTGGCGTGGGCCTAGTTTTATTATTGACGTTAGAACACGTAACATAGGGAAAGAAACTCAAACAATTTGGTTAGATAGTTGTTGAAAAAATATACTAACCATTCACTCAATTCATGAATGAGTATGAAATTTGAAAACCCATCAAGGAAATATAACCAATATCATCACAAATGGTTTGTTTAGAACTATAAAATCACTCCTTGTCCCCCACCAATTTGTGTATTATTTGAAGGGTCTAATCATACCAACAAAATAACACAAATAATGTTCGAAGTATAATTTTTTTTTCTTGGTGGTTTAATGGCAAAATTGATATGAATTTAGAATAAAAAAACATAAGATCTAAATTCTACTTTCAAAATTTTAATATTCATAGCACAAAACATGAAGTATTTTGTGAGAAAACACTTTCGGCTCTCAAGTAGTTCATCAAAGAGTTAAATTGGTCAATTGTTATTGGTAATTCCATTTTGGAAGCACTCTTAAATGCACCCTAAAATATTTTTGACTGATCGTAACATCATTTACGAGGAGTCTCGAATGTATTCTAAAGTATTTTTGAGTGATTGTAACATCATTTACAAGAAGTTAAACCCTTCACTCAAATAAAGATATCTCTTACAACATTCTAGACTAGAATCACTCACTCGTTTTGTTTTTTTCCTAGATTCTTCTTTCGCAATAAAAGCGAGTATAATTCTATGATAAAAGAGTATGCCTCCAAATAGATTTGTCCATAGGGAAGAATGAACACATTGGTGGGAATATAGGCCAAATAAGTCTCACTTTTATTTCACTAGCTCACTCTTTCTAAGAAATGTAAATAAAAGAAATCGAGTGGATTATGTAGCACCACGGATGATGATGTTTTCTTTCTTTTTATGGTAATAAACATGAAGGTACATAGTCCACAAAATGATTGTAGCTATTAATGGAAGGAATGGACAGAATAGTGAGTTAGCTGGAAGTGAGAAAATGTTAAATAGTGGCAGGTGAGGCCAAGGGTTCTTGATACCTTCATAGCAGACATCGTGTGCTTTCACACATTCATCTGCTTCAAACTCTCTCTCTTTACAACAAAGCATGATCATTCTTCTCAACCATCTCTTTGAATCTATGCATTAGAGATAACTACAATTACAATTACATGAAGAGTTATATATCACAAAAAATATCTTCAGAACGATTCCATGAAGATCTATTTATCGTTCGTTAGTTACCGAACACTTATAATCCATATTTTCTGTTTCCATAGAAACTAAGCATCGTAACCTATATTTATATTGTTTTTATTTTTTATTGTCGTCAAATTTAAAACTTCTTGACAAAATAAGCAATGTTTAGATTGAATAAAAAGACGTTCTTACCTATAAAATCCAAAATTTGCTCATTCCAATGACATGACCTCTAGCAACTTGCCTGACCCAAAATTGCTTCCTGCCGTAGATAAATGAATCTTTAATTAAAAAAAATACATTATTTGAATATTACACGTTATTCTCATTTTAACATTTATTGATTGAAAGGACTAAAAAACTTAGAGACAAAAAATTGAGAAATAAGGGGGCCTAACTTGTCGCTGTCAAAACAGATTCTCCAAGTATAAAAATGGAGGATAGTTTCTTAACATTATTTCTAAAAAAGCATCTACAGAGTATAAATGTATATGGAGTTTACAAAGCAAAAGGTCTGAACTTTGGATTTTGTGGCTCTCATTTTCACAGCTTTTGCTGTTGAAAAAGTTAAATGTTGTGACATATGATATAGATGTGTGTGGCTGTGTTGCAAACAAGAAAAGAGAACCACATGGTCAATAAAATATTGTAATAAACTAAGAATTGTTTTGGTCCAACAAGCAACCAAGCAGGGCCTTAAATCTCTGATTATCTGGGGTGGTTCTAAGAAATGCAGAGGGAATAGGGAACATGGGTCAATAAAATACTTACCAATTCAAATGGTAATCATGTAGCAAAAGATAATAAATCTTTATGGGCTGTTTGGATGTCCCTCACTGTATAAGAATTTTTAAATTGAAGGGAGCAAAAAGAATCAATTGCTTTGCAGAAAATCTTTCTTCTTTTTCAGCTTTTGTGGTGTAAGATGGCCAAGTTTTCAGTGTACTGTACTACCAAGAGCATGTGGGGGAAATATAAGATGTCATAAGCCAAATCAAGCATATAATATTGAAACATGTCTTGCTTTTTATATGATAAAAACTAGAAAATGAAAAGGAAAAAAAAACAGAGAGAGGAGAAAAAACCAGGAGAATGTTTCTTTTTATTAAAAAAAATTATATAATGAGGTTAAAAAATTTTACATTTAAGGCCCTGATTGGTTAGGAATTACTGTGACTGAAGAGAATGATTTGATTCGACTCTGGTTGGAGAAAAAAGAAGGGGGGAAACTGGCTTCGATTTTTGACATTTGGACTTGACTTGATTTTTTAATAATTTTTTTAAAAAAATTGGATTGACTCTGATTTTGATGCCTTGAATGCCAGAACTTGTCCTTACATTCCAGTTGTTGAATAACTTAAATTCCCGAGAAAGAAGGGGTGCGGGGACAATACATTAAAAAAAGAACCCCTTGAGGAGATAATAATAGAACTTCTGGCCTACCCATTTGGCAAACATTTGTCACTAGGCTAAGCCTTTTCAAAAGGACATCAAACATGTAACAGAAATAACAAAACAGAGTCAATAAAGACATTTTCAGATGTACCTCAACTGATAGACATTCCAGGCGTAGGACATGTCGACTATCATCTTGCACAAGATGAACATGGATTTTGGAACCTCTGCCGAAGAAATCACTCTAGACTTCCATCTTATCCACTGCAATATTGGAACTGCATTCAAGAAAACCAATCAAAAAAGGAAAAAAACTGTCGATCTCAATTTAGTTTAAAGACGACAGAATTTGTGACAATTTTATATTCAAACACAAGAATAAAATGATACGTGCATCTCAATGTGATTCTGCTACACTTTTGGCTTCAATGGTTTGGAGAAAGTTAGAATTTAACCTGAACTATGTTAAAAGTTAAACTTCCATCTATATAGTTCGATAAAATTTCATAAATAGCCCTACGGTTCGAAAGTCATCAATGGATTGAGTATGTGATAATTGTCAAGTACTTCATCCGTTAATGACTTTTAACAATATGAATTATTTATATGATTTTATCATATCGTATTGACAAAATTCTAACTTTTAAAACTACAAGGACTATAATTTTCTTCAAACTATAAAGGCCACGTTTATAATTTAACAAAAAAAAAAAAATATACAGTCCAAAAAAGTTTCAGGATTGCAACGAGTTGGCTAGAATGATCGCAAAGGGTGTTTCAGATAAATTGCAGAGTATAAGCAATAATGAGACCCATACCATTGCCTTGATGACCCATGCTGCTACATATGCTGTTTGGAGTAAGAAATTTGTCTCGTTTGTTGGAGATTGGGATCGCCAGGAGAGTAGGCCATTCTTTCTGTTATTCTTAATATAAAGAAAAGCAAGCCTAGTTACAATGTCTTTCAAGAGTAGATTCTAAGCATACTAAAATAGTAATAATAATAATAACAATCTTTTGTTAAAAAAAATGATGATGAAGTGATATAATCTAAGATCAAACCTCTGATCTACTTCTATGAAGATCCCCAATTGCTACAGTATAACTTTTCTTCATCCTATTACTTTTAAATAAAAAGGAGATGCGTTTCATTAGTATATTGAAAGGCTAAATGCAAAAACTGCACTCCCTCGTTAGGAGTTTACAAAACAGAGATTCAATAGAAATTAATTGCTAGGAGTAATTGTGTAACATTGAGAAGAACAAATCCTCAAATCATATGGACTTAATTTGAGACATAACTTCCCAAGTTCTTCCCTGTCAATGTAAATTTTGATAGTTTCTCTTCAAGAAAAGAATCCAAGAAATGTTCTAACTGCATTAACGCAAAAGATCTTAGCCTTTCCTTAAAAGTTATGTCAACTCAATAATTGCATCACATCATCCTCGGGCAAAAAAAATTGGTACGTCAAGAAAGATTGAAGCAAAGGAGGAAGATTCCCGATATCTTCTTCCTGAATGAGCATAAGAGCGGTAATTGGTCTAGAGATTCTTCTGGTTTTCCACCCAATAGACACCAACAAGGCAAGAGCCATATGCCGACACTTATTTGTTTTAGTCTCACAACCGTATTGAGCCCTCCATGGCATACCAACCAGCAAAATAAACATTCACCATATAGGATTAGAAGCAAAATGTCCATGATGAATAAATGAACTGAAGGATTTTCTGTTAATGCAGTTTAGTGCCTTAACTTTTCTGTTAATACAGTTTAGCGTCTTAACTCAAGAGCTTAAACCATTAATTTTGGAATTAAAGGGAAAGACAGAAAGTATCTCCAGAGTTATATTCAATCACAATTTTACAAACTTTGTCCTCCAGCTACACACCTTTAAATATTTGTGGAGTACCTGGCTGCCTTTCTTGAACCAAAATTGCGGCCCCATTGGTCATACAGAAAAGGAAAGCTCCCCATCCATCACCAATAATCTCCTGGCCCCCAATCAACATTAGGGGTCCTTCAAAAGAGCACTCCAGTACCCAACCTAGCATTTAGAGGTAGAAACAAGTCATTGAAAAAGAAGTCCCACGGCAGTTAACGTTTAAGCTATGCATAGGCCTGTACATATAGCAGTCAATGTCGCAACAGCAGGTAGTTATAGCATTAATGATTTTTTTTCCCTTCTTAGATTTGAATTATCAAGAGCAATTGTATCAAAAGACAAACTCGATCCTATTGGACCAACCACTTTATTCAGGGCAGATGTGGGCAGTGGGTCACAAGGACCCAGAGAAGGGCCAAAAAATGGAACAGCTTAAGGTCTCTTTCCAGCCTGTAGCAGCAGCAATGAAGGAGAAACAGTACAGGCTTCAAATTGCGAATTTGGGGCAAAATTTATCATAAAACAAAGAGAAACAGATAATTTACCCCGGGTACATTCTTACTCAATCCCTATAATGAGCAGCTTGCCATAAGAAATATCATTCATTGCCCTGCCAGCTTTATCCAAGTGGATGTTTTACATGCAATTCCAACCTACATAGACACCCATTCCAGTTTAGCACATTGAAACTTTTGAGGGGGGGCGGAAACTTAAGTCATAGGTTTGTGTATCGTATATTTCGAAAAAAAAAAAAAAAACACCCTTGAGTTCCTAAAACTCAACCCCAGTGGCACAAGGAACAAGAAATTGAATGTATGCCAACTATTACACTGACATGATATTGAAACCTTTAAAGCAGCAGGTATCTTCTTTTCGTCCTTTGTTCCTTCGTTGTGTAATTTGCTCACGGGGGTATTTGGATAAACTGGATCGGATCTACTCTTAATAAATTCCGGAAGACTATTACCTAGCTCTGCAGTAATTAGAGAATGGTAAAAACTCACAGGACATCAATGTTCGGTAATAGCTACTAAGATCTGCATAAACTAAAAAATGTGCGTGTGCAACTAATCTTTGCCATAGAGCCAACCATGGTGATTATAGCACCTGACATCTTCAATCAAAATTACAAGAGAAATACATGATGCGTCCAACAATTCCAAATATTCACTTGTGAGAACATCATGCTAAACAAAATATCATGAAGAACCACCACGAAGCAAATGATAAGAATTCTGAAACCTGGAAGCAGATTTATGCAACTCACAGCACAGAAATATGATGTAAACATGAAGTCAACCAAGATAGATTATTAGAAATCTTAGTCCTGCAAGTGCTTTTGATCTTGAGACAAAACACAATCACGCTCTACAAACCGTAATACAAGCCTATCGGCCTCCTCCAATTTTCCTCCTATAAGAAGTCTCCTGCTTACCTTCTCACATAACAATAAATCAGGAAGTAGATTTCTATTGAACATTTGACAAGAAACTGTATATGTTGACATAGGAATTCCAACACTTAAATAAACATGACAAGTTTTAGCATCAGTTCTTGAAGCCGTCCTCAAACCCTCACCTAAAAGGCTGTCGGCCTCTTTAAGGTATCCAAATTTACAAAGTTTCTCAATAACTAGATTAAATAGGGTTTGAAATCTGCCTTTTGAAATCATGTTCTTCAATAATTTCATCAAATCTTCTACCCTACCCTTTCGACAATACTGGTGGATGACAGGCCTGTATGTAACAGGAGAAGGAGCCAACCCTTGCCTCAGCATCTTCATTGAAAGTTCAGTGGCGTCTTCTATACGGCCAGCTTTGCCTAGTGCATCAATTAATGTTGTGTATGTCACAGAACCAGGGTCCTTGTTACAAAAGTACATATCATCCCACAATGACAGTGCAGCTTCCAAATCATCTTTCTGACCAAATCCATGAATGACAGTGGAGAAATTGACTACGTTAACAGCACAACCCTTGTTCATGCACTCCATGAGTAACTGCTGAGCTTCATGTGGTTGCCCATCCCGGCAAAGAGACTGCGCCAATAAGTTGATTTCAACTAGATTTGGAAAGAAACCTTTTCCAATCACCTCCCTGACAGGCTTCATGCAATTTCCCTTTCAGGCGTAACCCATGAACCACAGTGCTATAAGTGATAGCATTAGGTGGTCTCACTCGTGTTCATCATCACTCTAACTTCTAATGATTTTCAATTTCGGCATAAACCATTTAGCAATTTTGTAAATGTTATAGCATTAGGTTTGCAGTGATACTAATACATCTGCTGCATCATCTCTTTGTGCTTGATCAAGTTTCCCAATGCGTCAAAACCTGTCAAGGATAGAGGTGCATGTTACAACATCTGGAGCACATCCCTTGAAGAACATTTCACCAACAAGCTCTTTTGCCTTCTTAATCTTTCCTTCCTTGCAATATGCATGAACTATTGCACTATACTCGACCTTGTCAATTTTACATTACAATTATTCAGCTTCTCTAAGAATCTCTAAAGCCTCATCTCCGTGGTCATGCTTGGAAAGCATCTGGATTAGAGAATTGTAAGTAACATGGCCTGGAAATAAGTCACTATCCATTCTCATTTTCTTCATCAGCTCCCTAATTTCATTCATCCTCTTGTGTCTACAGAGAAATCCCATGAAATTATAGCAACTAATTTTATCTGGGGAGCATCCCTTAGATGGCATTTGAGCAATCAGTTGGCTTGGTCACCCTGATGCAAGTTACAATAGCCCTTGATAAAACAGTTATAGCTCACAACATTTGGAGCAATGCCAATTAGAACCTACGTTCTGCAAACCTCAATGCCTTCTTTTACTCTTTAATATGGATTGCAGTGTTAAAAATAGACAAATTAGGTTAATCTCCTGCAAGTTAACGAATGAATCATGTCTGTACCGCCACAATCTATCTGCCCAATACAAGAATATCAAAGCAATTCTTTTGCCATCCTGAGAGAACAAAACAACACAAACCTGTGGCGGATTAAGGCTTCTTACACTAAATGCCTCAACTCCCCTTCAAACTTCCGATTCCAAGAGGAACTTAGCTGGATCAATTTACAGGCATCTTTCACTAAGGGATATCTAAATACATCTTCACCAGTTTCAACTCTTTTGAAATCATTTCCTTATCCATGATTTCTATCAGACATATTAGACACCAAAAGATCCCCGTCATTATCAACATCCACACCTTCCTCTTCTTCATTAGTAGACTCTTCAGCCTCCATAACCACCGAACTTAAATTGCCGATCCGTTTCATATTCCTCATCAGGATATCCGCAAACTCGAATCTCCGAAATCCTCCGAATCAGTTTTCTGAAATTCGTCATTTGCATCATCAAACCCGTTACTTCTCCCATCAATATCACTGCAGTAAGTTCTTAATCAACGACTGAAACTCGAATCTCTCCTAGAGGAAAACGATACAAATGCGCCAAGTTCACTCCATGTTATAGGATGGAAACAAAAATTATCGAAGCATTTATAGACAATTTCATTCACAAAAAAAGTAGAACTAGCACTACCGTTCTGAAAAGTATTTAGATAAGTCAGTTCATGAAGTCCGATTCGCTTTCTTCCAATTCAATAGTAGTAATTGAAAAATGAATAACATACCATTGTGATGGAGGAGAAAACAGTGAAGAAATTGACGAACTAGCGACTGGTTAGATAATCCTGCAGGCACTCTTTCCTGCCGCTCCGAAGGTGAAAAGTAACCAGTCTGTAGCCGCTCCGTCGACGTTCCTCAACTTCGCGCCAAAACAGGGCGTCCCTGTCGCATGAGTAACCAAGTTTGGGATCTAAATTAAGGTAAAATTACAAATACGGATTTGACATAATTTTTATTCGATGCATTATTTTAAAATTTTTAATTTAGAAAACCTTCTTTTTTTTAACTCATATGATTTATATATTTTTTTCTTTTTTGAAAACCGAATAATCGTTATTGATATATCATTTTTATTATATACTAGATAATTATTGATAAAAAAAATTAAATGTTAATTATATACCATTTTTTATTATTGACGTCATAAAAATTAAAATTAGATTAAATGTCAATAATATTATCAATAAAATGGTTAAAATACTCGAGACCGTTGAAATTGGCGGGACTCGAAGAGCATTCATATGTCTCGCGCGACGCAGATTCTCCCGGGAAGATCTCGATCATTGGAATTGCGGACAACGAGGGCAATGGAACTGGATCGGCGCTCATCTTCTTGGGCCCAGGGTTTTCGAGTTCGGTCTCTCATTTGATGTGCCTCGCCAGCCTCATGATCCCCCCTCCTTTGCTTCTCTCAGGCACTGACGGTTCTCCGCAAGCTCAACCTGAACTACAGGTGATTTCGTCAGATTTCTCGATCGTAAGTCTACTTCAAGGCTGTATTATGATTGTTTAGAGGAATAGGTGTTTCCGCATCTAGATTTGTGGTCATCTCTCTGGAGTATGGAATTTGAACTTCATTGCATCTAGATTTCGCTGCTCCGTTTGTTTTCTTCTTCTTTTTTAAAATGATAGTCTGAGGCAGTACTCAACGGGGGATTTCTGATTCATTGGCTGAAATTTCTTTAGTTTACTGAGCAATTTAAGTTGTAACTGGATCTAGGTATATGTTCACTGGCGCAGTTGCTTGCAGTTTAATTGACCTCGTTTTGTCCGTTATACGCACATGGCTACGGTTTGCTAAACCAAGTTTTCATATATTTCAGATGCAATGCATCGTTGCTCATTGATATTGCCGAAGCAATGGCGAGAACAATTACATATTGATCGATGTAGGGAAGACGTTTAGGGAGCAAGCACTAAGATAGTTTACACGCCGTAAGGTTACTCAAATGGATTCTGTGAGTCGTTATCTCTTGCTCCTTCTGTTTATATATATAATTTTTTGCAAAATTTTCAAAATAAAAATGCATAGATAAATACGATCAGGACACTATTTCTTTTTGCCGACCTTTATGGCTTTCAGAAGCAATCTTTGCGTCTTGATTTTTCGATCTACACTTTTAACGTACTTGAACCATTTCTACCTTGTGCCAACACTTGTTTTTTTATGAAAATTGATTCTCCTTTTTGTAAATTTTATAAGAACATTTTCTTTGCATAAAGTTGACTCTAACTGTCCTTATGGATATTTTGCTTTTCGCTTAAAAAAATTTCAGATTATGTTGATTCATGAACATGAGGATTTCGTTATTGGCTTTGATGATATAGGTGTTGTGTGTCACAATTGCACTTTGATGGCAGCAGACTTGCGATTGTGCGGCACTCACTTCTCAGCAACAAGTGAGTTAAGCCTATTTGTTCTCGCGTCGCCTACGGCCAAGCGACGTATGCTCGAGCCTCTGACCCCGGTTCAAGAAGAAAGTTTTCAGAAAGCGGGGGCGAGAGATTTCAAAAGAGAGTTTTGAATGCAAGATTTGAGAAATTGAAATTGGTGTTATATGGGAAGGTAAGCAAAAGACAACAACAACGGCTTACTGCATATAACTATCGGGTAAGGAGAAATTGACAACTAATCATATCCCCCTATAGTACATTTGGGGGCATTTTAGCCTTTGCAGGTGTAGACATGATTTTGGTGAACGGTCATACACCCTCATACTGACCCAATATGAAATGGTAAAGACCTATCTAGGATGAAAGCATGGGGTTTGGAACAGGTATGCAACCATGGACAACACGTCCTGGACAAGCAAGATCGGAAATCTGTCATGCGACCATTGACAATACGCCTTGGACATGCATGACCGTGACACTGTGCAACGTTTTAGTCCCACAAATGAAATCAACCGGACGCCTGTTTGCTTAGCACAAAATACGATGAAAAGGTACTTCTGTGGCAACCTTTCTTTAGATTACTTATCGTACATCTTACTCGCAATAAATTGGCCATGGAGTTCTTGGCCTTCGTTTTAAATGTTGAGCAAGCTACTTGTTCAGAGAATATTAGATAGACGATACGTCTGATGATGGAAGAGTTCCTATTTGGCACTAGATGTAGATGCTTCCGACATCTATTTTTTCTCTGAGAAATAATTTTTCATGTCGTTTTTCTTTTTGGACCTCCCAATAATTAAATGCATAACAACCAGTGGAGCCAACGTGGTTTTTTTTTTATATAGTGAACACTCTTTGTTTTCTCCTTGCTATCCAATAACACCTCTTAAAGGGTTCTTTGTAACTCGTGTAGCTCTGTGCAATTAATTTTTTCTTCTGGCTAATATTCGTTACCATTCATAACCAGGTTTGGAATCAAAATTTGAACCACTGGTGGATGCCATGTGTCATTTCACATCTTCTATAATTTGAGTCAATAGTCTCTACTTCAAATGTTCAGTCACATCAGTAATCCTAAGAATCGGTCCCTTCACTGTTACTCTCTTCAACTCTTCAAATGCAGTTTGACACTCTGAAGTCCAACTCCAACTATTATTCTTTTTCAATAGGTCCATAGGTGGATTCTCATATGGCTTCGACCTTCGACCAATCATCCATAGTAATTGGCTAATCAGAGGAAAAAATGTAGTTTTGTCACTGAAGCTGGCACCTTCCAGTCTCGTATGGCTTCGACCTTTCCATCTTCCATTCCACTTTCCACACTCGATTACATGTCTGAAGAAGCTTATGATTTCTTGCCGTGAACAAGCATTTTTTCCTCTTCACATATAACTGATTAGCCCTTAATTGTTCTAAGACAAGTTTCAAATGAACTTAGTATTCTTCCATCATTGGGCTGTGAACCACAACATCGTTCTGGTAGACTACCACAAACTTGCCAAGATATATGAAACACCTAGTTCATCAAAGTGATAAAGCTAGGTGATGCATTGGTGAGGCCAAAGGCATGACAAGAAATTCAAAGGATACTCGTTTGGTTCGCAATTATGTATATAAGATGTTGCAAAAGGTTGAAATTACTGAAAGATTAGTGAATTGGTTCCTTCGGCAAGTGGTTGTTGGCTCTGATTTCCCGAAGCCGGAACACTCTAACATCTGATTGTCTTGCTTCTCTTGATCTTCTTTGCTGAAAGATCAGTGAATTGGTTCCTTCGGCAAGTGGATGTAGGCTCTGATTTTCTGAAGCCGGAACACTCTTAACACCTGGTTGTCTTGCTTCTCTTGATCTTCTTTATTACTCTTCTTTCTGTCTTAATTCGAATTGGCCATCAGAAGATTCTTGGATTAATTTTCAACATTAGTAAATGAAGAGTCCAATTGAGAAAATTTTGTTGGCTGATGCTAACGATATTCACCTTGTACCTGTTTTCTCCTTTGTGTTATTATAATTTTGGAGATAGTTTTTCTTAGATTCTTCATTTCAGCTTCGCATTGCAGACTGGATCCCACAATGGTCATTTCTGCCTTCCGCAGGTTTTGTAGACAACTTTATGAGTTTTGTTTTAGGATCTTGGAATTACTTTATTGACGTCATAACTCGTGGCCTTTTCTTTGCAGGGACTCTTGAAGCAGTAAAGAGGATATGTCCAAGGTAAGCCATGCTAATTGGAATGGGTCATGAGTTTGATCACCACCACATGAATAATGAGTTCCTTGATGAATGGTCTTAAAGTTACAAAATTTACATTCTGATCCTAAAACAGGAACCAATCAACTTATATTCATTCAATGATTGTCCTGCACATGGCTGTCAAGTTATAGAGGTGGTTTCACTGTTCCTCGGTGATTCTATTATCTTTAAAAGGTCTAAATGAAGTTGGAGGGAGATGGCTTTTCTTCATTTTGTACTGTAGATCGGATGTCCGATACTGATCTTTATGTTCTATCCTTGTACTCATTCAGGAAGAAATTCCAGTGCAGCTTGCTCATGATGGTCCTAGAATCTCCACACACCTATGATGAGGTAAGATTTCTTCTAACGGTTCTTCACGATTACCATTAACTTCTTCGTTAGCTGTCCTTAATGGTATTAATTATATACACCTCGGTGCCAGTCTTTTATTAGACCAAACAAACGAAGAAAGTAAGACCAAGCATTGGTGACCACGAGTGCGAGGGGGAAAGTATTCAAACACCCTTAAACGCTGAAAGTTGAAACCAAACAAACCAATCAGAAAAGCTGAAAGTTCAAAATAAACCACCAAAACTTTGAAGGAAGTGGAAGAAAATTGGCTAACACATGTGACATAAGTCATGGGACCCATTTGCAAAGATGGAACATAATAATGCAATTCCTTCCTCAATTGCTCTGTTCATTTTGGAATCTTCCACAGAAAAACTGGAAAAGTTAAAATTTAATAGAGACAATATGGAGCTAATGGTATGCAAGGCAAGGACACTGTATGTGAATAAAGCGCATACTAAAGTTTCTTTCTTTCTTTTTTTCTTTTTTTTACTTAATAGTAATGCGCATATTGAAGTTCTATTTTTCTAATAATTTATTTTTTGCAGACATCATAGAAACACAATTTATTGTAGAGTTTATTACTGAACTTCTGTTGCAATAAGTGCTTATGGAACCAATCACGAAAATTTATGGCCTAAATCTTACCTCTCTGTTTTCTTTTGCCCTTTGGAGTGTTTTTTTGTTTTTTTCTGTCTCCTAAAGAGAAATTTCTTAATTGCTTCTCTATAGTTGAATGCTATAGAAATTTGACATTTCTAATTTCTATTTTCAAGAAAAAGGTCAATAGCACATTGAAGAGACCAGGGAAAATATAAGAAGGATGTACCAGAAGCAGTGTACTGCGATGGAGAAGTTAAGAGAGAAAAGGTTAGTTTTTTACTTGCCATGCCATGCTCAGAACTTTATACATTTGCACCTAAACGTACTTGGAAATTTCAACTTTTTCCCCAGTGGTCAGTAATTTTTTCCTCCAAGTTTGGGTGATAATAAGATTTAATAAATAATAAGATTTGTGGATTTTTTGATGCTCTATACTTCACTGATCATCCAAGATCTTTTCAAAAAATGATAATAAAATATCAATCCCTGGTCCCACCAAGAATGCTGATGAACACAAAATCTTAGCCAATAATTTGATTGATTTTTTCCATTTTTGTTTGCCCCTTTAAAATGTTGGAATGATATTGTTCTTAAAAAGAAATTAGTTAAAACACTATTTTGTTTCTTGTTTTTTTTATTTAAAAAAAAACCACTTTCCTTTTATTATTTCGGATCAATTAAAATTATCTTTCTTTTGACGGTACATATTTACCAAATATTATTCAACGGTACAACTTCTATTATTTCATCCGGCAATTTTTAAACAACTTCTAAACATTAAAAAGTTGCCATAAAATATAAATTAAAAACTTTCCTCAATACGAAGAAGAAAACAAGGGAAATAAATGAGAGTATAGAGTAGGGACTAGGGATGGCAGTCAACAGAGTCAAATTATAAAATTCTGAACCCCTCATCCAATTTTTCTTTTTAGATTTTCTAAAATAATTTTCCTGGTATTTTTAATTGTTTCACTCTATTTTTTTAAATAAAAAATATACTTTTTAGGGAAAAAAGGTAAGGGTTTGAGCATGGGTGAAAATGCTTTTCGCCTTAAAAAAAAAAAAAGAAAAGAAAGTATCTTTGACTGATGACTGGACAGTCCCTCCCTTTTCCCCAACGTTCTCTACTTCCAAAAGGCCGTCCCTTTCTGATAATCGTCATTTCCTCGCCGCTCAATTCAAACTCCTTTCACCCTCATTTTATCCAAACTCGGAGATTTTTTTTTTATTAAGCCTTGATAGTGCCGAGATTAGCGGTATTAAATTTTCGCCGTTTACTGTTTATAATATTACTCATAACATCATTTTCAGTCTTGTAAATATGTAAATCAATTTAAATCAACAAACGACAGAGAAAAAAACATCATTTTCATCTTTGTATTTTATTCATGAATTAATTTTGTTTGTTGATCTCCAATTTTATCAAGTGATTGAACTATTTCCTTGAATTATTGAAGTTTGATATTTTTTAAGGTTTGTAGCTGGGAGAAATATTGCTTTTTTTTTTTCTTTATTTGGTTTACTTGTCTTGTTCTTTTAATTGTATATGTTTTTGCTCAGCTTTACAATTTTAAAACATATTTTTAATAAGAGGTTTTTACCCTCTCATTCTTTAGGGACATTGTCTATTGTCTAAATTTGGGCTCACAAATTTTTAGAAAGTTTAGTTTTTTTTTAATTGTAAAATAGTGGGGGATCTTAGAATTTATTCTAAGTTTCTCATTTGTTTTGGTTTAACACGTAGATTATTGTTTTAGTTCATGAATTTGAAATTTTAAAAGAAAATAAGGCCAAGTATCTAGTTCAAACAATTATTTTGCTAAATTCCCAACTCGAGAAGATATGGAAATGTTGCTAAATTCCCATCCCAGTGTACGTACTTTCTCTGATGCCTTCTGTACCGACACTTGAAACCCCCATATTTGTTATACCTTTTCTTTTAATTATGTGAATCTCTTTGAAACTTAAATTTTTAGATTTGGATTCATCTTTATAGCCTTATTGATGGAAAAAGAAGAAGGAACACCCGTGATTGGTTGCCAACCCTTCTTCAAAAGTAATAAACCGACAGTGCAGAGGAGATTTAAAGCCAACAAATCAAAGAACAAAAAATGCATCACTGGTGAGTTTCGAGATTAAATTTCTTGTCTGTTTTCCTTTTTCCCCTTTCTCTTTTCCTATCATTTTCACTGTTCAACGCCCTTCTCCTCCTGTCTTCGTTAATCATTTCCCATAATTTTTCACCCTTTTAGTCTTCTCCCCAACTCCCACCTACTAATTTCGAAATCCCTCTTCTAAGTTTTAACAATGGCGAATTAATCGCCGACCATTTGATTAGTCCTTGTGATCAAGTGGCTCGTTCTGATTTAGCCACCTCACGTCGGTGGGTCCGGCAACTGACGTGGATTAATCGGAGAGGGGTTCTTGAATATGTTGTGTTGTGTAGTGCATGCGAGTTGGCCTTGTTCATGAGCTTGTAGAAAAAACCTGCTCTCTTCTTCCCCCCTTTGTCGGGTTTTCATATACTCTGAAATTGACTTGTGGGTCTTCTTTCTTCTTCTTCTTCTTCCACCTGCCATATCCTTTATTTCTTCCTCTCCCTCTCTCTCTTCAGTCATTCTGCAGAGTTGCATCTCCTAGAGAGAGAGAGAGAGAGAGAGAGAAACGGGAATCCAATGGAGTACGAAAGGATTCACAAAGTTCAGGTGGCCGTTCTTCTAGGATTCTATTTTTCGTTCTCTCTTACTTCATTTGGTTTTTAAGTTGGACTATTCCTGTTCTAGGATTTTGGAAAGACAAACTCTCATATGGGTTGGGAGTTGAGAATGTTATTTCTTGATCTAAGTTTGAAGAGTGGTTCCGAACCCTACTGATAGCTTTTATTTGTATGGAATTGATATCAATTTTGCGTGAGTGATGGGACAGTTCCAACTACTTAAGACAGAATAGAATGTTTTGAGTTCTTTCTTTTTCTTTATTTAGTTTTTGTGTTGGAAGAGTTTCATGGGTATTCTTCTCTATTTCAGACGGGTATAATTTCTCCGAGTAAACTGAGGATGAAACTCATGGCACCTCATCATAAAAAGAAGGATGGATCAAGCAGCAACTCTTCAAGAACTTCTCCTTCCAAACTTGAGGACACTGAGTTTGTCAGAAATAGTTTATTATTGGCCACAGAAAATGGTGGCTTTGAAGAGGAAGGTCTGTCTGTCTCGCCCTCTCTTCTTCCCCTTTCCATCTCATTTATGTTCCTTATTATGTCTGAGGGTGAAACTTTTACTTGTTTCATTGTCATGTTTGTGTGGAGGAGACGTATCGTGTTTATGTTTTTACTGATGCAGAAACATGTCATGCCGTGACATCTTCCTGCTTCGAAGTTCTCTCTGAAAATGTTTTGAATCAGGCAGTTTCAGACTCAAAACAAAGTGATCGGTCTCCAAGTCTGCCAAAGGAGTTTCTCTCCGAATCTGATCGAAATAGAATGCAGGAATGCCTGAAAGGTGATAGTTGTAATTCAAGCACAATTAACCCTTCAAAATCATTAGAAGATGAAAATCTGGATTATGACAGTAATGCAAGTTCATCTAGTTTTGAGTTTCATAAAGGAGAGAGGTCTGCACAAAGCTCCATTTCGAGGTCCCATTTGAGACCGATGCCATCGAAGTGGAACGATGCAGAGAAATGGATAATGATTCGTCAAAACAATGGTCAGGCTGCCAATTATTCTAAGAAGAATGTTGCACAAAACCATGGATATAGAATGATGGCCGCAAATATGGTGAGGGTTGCTCCAGAATCTGCAAACTCCCGGCTTCGGTCGTCAATTGGTAACGTTGTGGATGCAAACCATGTTGATTTTTGTCAGTCTGAGAAGTTCTCTTTTGTGCCTGCTGGAGCATATTCTTTTGCAGATGATGAGTTGATTGACCCATGTTCTCAAATTAATGACTTGAAGGAAGTGGATCACAAGCCATCCTCAAAAGCTAGTAAAGAGGATTCGACAGGTATAAGACCAACACTATTTTAGCAGCTTTCTCTCATTTGTGTTATATGTTTAGATCTTTTGCAATCCTATTTCGCCCATCGTATAAGTTTAATGGCTTATTCTTCAGGCTTCCCTGCAATAAGAGCAGTTTCAATGAGAGATATGGGAACAGAAATGACCCCAGTTCCTAGCCAAGAGCCTTCAAGAACAGCCACCCCTGTCGGAGCGTCTCCGCTTCGCACCCCAATTTCTTCAACCCCCTCCACACCTCGGAGAGATGCACCTGCTCCCACTCCTACAGAGCAATCTGCGTTCCAGTTGCAACAATTCACAGAAAATGGCCATAAGGAACTGTCAAAAGATGAAATGAAGCTCAAAACAAGGAGAGAGATTCTAGCCCTTGGTATGCAGCTTGGCAAGTCAAATATTGCAGCCTGGGCAAGTAAGGATGAGCAGGAAAAGAACAGACAGAATGTTGAAATTGCTGACAAGGAGGCACTCAAGCGAGCGGAGTTCGAAAAACGTGCAGCTGTGTGGGAGGAAGTCGAAAAGTCTAAACATATGGCAAGGTTTCCCCCCTTCCATAATTCACATATATCATATAACTCTTGGGTTGAGTTTTAAGATCCAGGAGATCTGATGACAAGTTATTCGTTCTAATTTGATAAGAAAATTTTAACATTGCTCAGATATAGACGTGAAGAGATCCAAATCGAAGCATGGGAAAACCAGCAGAAAACGAAGCTCGAAGCCGAAATGCGGAGGGTAGAGGTATTTAGATTCCTCCTTAAAGATTCAGATTAAGTCAATTGACTATTTTTTTTTATGAAGGCTGAACTTAAATATCTATAAATCAATGATAACTAGAGAGATCTCATATCATACTGATGAAAGATTTTCACTGCTGAAGACACGGCAACTATTTTAGTACTGATCTAAAGCTTTGACACAAATTAGGCCCAAGTTGAGCAAATGAGAGCTGAAGCTGAAGTGAGTATGATTAAGAAGATTGCTATGACAAAGCAAAAGTCGGAAGAAAAACGGGCTGCGGCCGAGTGTCGAAAGAGGCGGGAGGCAGAAAGAGCATCTGCACAGGCTGAGTACATTCGGCAGACGGGACGAATGCCATCCTCCCCTTACATTTGTTGTGGTTGGCTGTGATGAAACCAAAACTCCCATGAAAAATGAAGAGAACAATGAATTGGGGGCCTAACAATGCTCAACTTGCATCTATCAAGCAGCTTCATTTACATTTAGTTCCCAGAAGAGAATTTTACAGTTAATGAACTAACTCCTTACCTCAGAGTGTTCATATCGAATAAACAGAGAGCTATGAAAAATTCACGATTCGAACTCTTAAAATGTTTTGATTGTAACAAGTTTTTTGAAGCTACTTTTAGTACACCTGCCTGATTGTGCTTAAAATAAATGGTGAACTGTTCTCAAAGCTACTTTAAAGCATGTCTTCAAAGTTCAATCAACAAAAAGGCAGAAACAGAGAGCTGCATGAAGCTCTTTCAAGACAAATGAACAGAGTTGAGCCTTAATCTTAATAAAGGACCAGAGATCAAATCAAACTTCACAAGAACATGCAGCTGTTCTAATAAAACTTCATTTATAGGGTGCAATATATATAGCACATAACAAAAGCTATCTCCAGTCATACAGAGCTGTCCTGATACCTGTATGTATGAGAAAACAGAAGGGTGAGAGAGAGAGAAAGAGGGAATCACTTGATTAATTACAGTTTCTGGCTCATATCTGAGCTCAAGTTAAAAAAGAAGAAAAACTAAGATTGCTTTTACATTCTCAAGAGAAATAACTTAGGGAGAGCTAATAGTACAGAGAAGGCATGTTGACCGGTTAAATGCCTCAGTACTCGAGCGACCCGACAGAAGTTATCCCGCTACTCAAATTTCTGGACGACTCCTGTCTATCGGCATAGCTATCAACCCTGCCCATCTCCTGCACTTCCTGTGGTGAAAGTATTTTGATACACCACACGCTGTTGACAAACTCCCTGTCCATGACAACAGGATACCACACTCATCAGGAAAGGACAAAGAGTTTCAACGAAAAAGCTACACAGTTGATGAACAGTTCTAATGAAATAAGGATGTAATTCTTGCATCGAGAATATACTCGATCGAGAGAGGACAGGAAGAAAGGTAAGAAACTCACTGCCAGGGATCGTCCCCAAGAAGAAGGATGTCATTTTCCCGGTCAACAAATACAAGCTGCCAGCCTGATCTCAAAGGGTCCTCCAACTCGCCTTCAAGATTGAACTTGTGAGCGAGCTCACTGCGTAACTGATGGTAGCTACTGAATTTCGAAATATCCAGTGATCTACCGAAGGTCCCCGACTTGTAAACCTGTTAAAAATCCGAGAATACAATCAACAAGAGAAGGAACTAGGGAAACACAGATAGGAAAACAAAAAAAACAAGCATAACAAATCGCACGAACTTCAGTAAAGAGAACAACCTTTACGAAGTTTGGCAAGATACCCGAATCCTCAATGCAATTGGAAGGTGTCCCAGCTGGATTGGCAGAGAAGTTGGTACCAGCAGTATTCACGTAATTGGACGAAAACGGTATCGCTGTTGAGTCACTGTCACTGCAAATTCCCCTAAGATTTGGCATACCATTCTGCATTAGAAGAGATGAAGGCTCTATATTGACACCAAATAGAAGATTACTCTGCGGGTCACCATTCCTTTGATCTAATGAACACTCTCTACCAGGAAACGGCGGCAAAGAAACATTCTGAGAGATATTAGCCTGAGCTGTCCCCATATTTTCCTCTTGGAGATAAACAAACTGAGAATTTCCAGAAGAGATAAGAGGATCGATTGCAGCTCGCTTTGATGGCCACGCAGATGAATGTATCATGGGATGTGTTCTAGGCAGATTAAGCAGCTGAGACGATTCATCTTGCGGAAACGAACCTAACAGGCTGTGCAATGGTGAAATGATAGGATTTGTCATATGGATGCCATTTGAATCAGAAAAACTCTGCTGCCTGCAAAATGAAGGAATAGTTTGCAGGGATTGGGATACCGAACCGAACTGTGTCATTGTAGAGATGCTACTCGGAATTTGTTGGTGATCAAACACTTGCTGTTGTGGCTGCTGTTGCTGCTGCTGCTGCTGCTGCTCGTTGTTGAATGTCTGTTGCTTCATCTCCTGCCGAAGAACGGTAGGCTGGGTTTTGGCCTGAGAATGAGGGAGATGTTGGATTTCATGATCATTTTGGAGAAAGGTCTGGTGAGGCTGAGTCTGAGGAGGCTGAGGAGGCTGCTGCAACATCTGAGGTGACATGAAAGTAGCAGGCCTGTTGGGAAGATTTTGGGTTTGTTGGAACTGAAGAAGCGATGCCGCCTGCGCCTTAGCAGGATCAACGGTTCTCATCTCCTGTAGTGCCGCAGCAGCCATTGCTTGATATATCTCCGGCTGCAGACCCACCATGGAAGCATCGAGCCTCGGCTGCATCCATGGTGCAACTCCGATTCCATGGAGGTTCAGAGGTTGAATTCCACGATCTAGAGCGTCTCCCCGTAGCCACATTAGTTGTGAGTTCAATCCCAGATCATCCTCTTTGAGACCTGACACAGTAAGTGGATATCAGAGTTCATTAAGATGCAACAGAGGAACACAACATACGAAAAGCTAGAGAAAGATAAACCGGACTTTGATACCATAAACGCACGAACATACCATGGAAAGAAGGCAATCCAGTTGGCCAGGGTCGCTTAAGCCTGAGGGGAAACGGAGATGGATACATCGGGAAGGTTGTTAGTGGCTCGATCTCCCACAACGAAACCCTTGGCTGTCTCTCCCCAGCTGTAGATTCATCCCATCCAACCTACATAATGCAAATTCTAAACACCTTTAATGAAACTCTATGGTAAAAAATAACGTTTCGATGATTTTACTTGAATTTTCAAAACGAAACTTAAACCAACCTTGACGGAGCGCCAGTGTGAGTTTGGCCATCGAGCAGGATCTAAGTCACTGATGCCAGTAATAGTGCCCATGTATCTAGAAAACATAGAAATCTTAGATGTTCATGATTCCATAGATCAATTTCTCATAGAATAGACACATTATTTTAGCAACAAGAAATTTTAAAAAACGCATACCGACGAACACTTGATTCTTCTGTTTCAAATAGCATTCTAAAACGCATACCGACAGAAACACGGGTATGGTACACAGCTTTGACATACTTAGCCAGAGGAATGATGAACTCTGATGGGCTAGCTCTGAATGAAAAAATAATGTGACTTATAGTCATAAACCAAACTAACAAGGCTCAAGAATTGTTCAAAAATCGAACCTTGGATTATAAAATATCGTGAACCGACTATTTGTAGCAGCTGCATGGGCTGCAGCAGCAAGAAGCCCCAAGTGCATGCTGTCACTAGATAAAACCGATGAGGGCATCATCGTTTGTGGTCGGCTAGCTCGACGGATCCCCAATAGTAATTGATTCTTTTCATTCCTGAGAAACCCCAGCATTGCGAATATGATATAAATTTGAATGAATAAATATCGAGTCTAAATGAATGAACAGCCAGCCCATACGCTCTGCGCAGTCGTTGTGTAGCTTCAGTTACATGAGTGATTAAGTTTTATTTCGAAAAAGAACCTACATACAAGGAAGGGCATAAAAACGAACCAAATAAAGATCACAGAATCGCCAGCAACAAGCCTCTTAGCACTTACAAACACACTCCATCCAGTTGTAAGAAGATGCCTTTTGGGCTGGCCTGCGTCGAAAATATAATTAGACATAAAAACTGCTGCAAGACGAGGGGTTGAGGCAGTTTTTAAAACGTTAACCTCGCAAAACTCACCACGAAAGATATGCCTAAATTTCCATTCATTATCGTGCAGATCCCTTGCCATCAACTCCTGAGCAGGTGGCTGTTGAGTAAAGTCCTACACGTTCAAATATGGTACTTCTCCGTTACGACATTTTCAAACGACTTAATGTCGTGTTTCTAAGACATTTTTAGGATTACCAATGGAGGAAAAACTTTTTCAGCAGCACGACGAGGAACAGAAAATCCTCCATGCGTACTTGTGTCACTTGCTGTCAATGTTTTACAAAAATAATTGGTCGGTTGTTTGCTTGGAGCACCCAACTCAGCTGGAAGATATGGCTCCTTTTGCTCTTGCTACAGAAAGTTTCGAAAATTATCAGGAAATGAAGTTCTTACAACTTATAAATTCACTATTTGAGTTACGTGAAAGTAACATACAGCACTGAGCGGTTGCAAGGTCATCTGAGCATAAACTTCATCCGTCTCGATATCTGCCTGGATTCATCAAGTCATTCAATAAGAACCTCTGGAGTTTATACAAACCTATGATCAAACTCAATGACAAGCCTTACATGCATGGTAACATTGTGAAGCTGACAGATAAGTTGTGGCGGCAAGCTTGGATAACTTGGTATATGGGCATCCACTTCTTTGTTGGTTGATATGGCTACCTACCCAATGTCAATGAATATTATGTTAGCAACTAATCCCCTCTCGAACCGCCAAACATCGAGCAAAAGCGATCACGAGGAACAAAAATGAACTCCAGATGCAGGTAGACAACAAGCAAATTTTGAATTTTGAAGAAAAATGAGTTGAGTTGTTGATCCTCTAATGATCATCAGAATACACAAACAAGTCCAGACACAGTCCAAGTACAAGCATAAGTAGCTTAAACAAGTGGATTCAGCAAGATTGAAGACAAGCGATGAACAGGAATCTAAAGTTTAATAGGAAGTTGGGAGCTCACAGACAAGAAATGGCAATAGGCAAACAAGTTCCATATCTGAAGAGGGTCAGTTTCTAATATCAATTTTGGGAAACAATGATACTCATAGGCTTACAGCTTACCTGCTCGCTGTGACCCTGTGGAAAGTAAACAGCCCGACTTCCAACAGCAGGTAGAGATACAAGAGGGCCCGCACATGCATGCCAAAGCTCCGAGTTAAGAACTCTCTTCTCCCCTGAAAATTTCAATACATTTCATTACAAGATAGCTATCAACAGAGAAGGGATGTTTTGACAGAGAAATTGAGGCAAATGGAAACAAACAGGGACTATGGCCATCTCAGTCTATACCTTCCGGAGGCTGAGGGCTGAAACCAGCAGCTGAAAGCCTCATTTCAGTGAGATCCAACAAAACCAATGAACTATTGACCCCCAAATTTGAAGCACCAAAGTCAATCTGAATGTTCAAAAAGTAAACTACAAAAGCTCAGCCGAAGCCGGTTTCACTACAGAACACGATCAACTTCAACCTCACCCGCATCTGATTCTCTCCACCCAAACCCCCCACATACAAACCTCTTCAATCACCGACTTCATGCCACAACAAACAAAACCCAACAAATTTCTTCAATAACCCACAAGAACACAAAGGTAATCAAAGAAAACCCAAAAAGGGGAAAAGGGATAAAATCAGATCTCAGCCCTCTAACCGCCAAAAGCCCAGAAGAAGCAGGAAGCAAAAAGGGAGGTAGATCTCAGCACAGTTCAATTGAATGATGTGGGAATACAATGAAGAAACAAAAGGGCTTCAAGGGTGGAGCCACGAAATGGAAATCCGCTGGAATTACACAACCAAATGCTTTGCTGCTACTCAATCCTTTGTTCATCAAAGCCCTTCGAGGCTTTGCCTCTCTCGAATTTGTGTGTGTTCTATTGATGGGTACTCTGTAAAACAGAAACACAATCAATCAACGCAACCAATACTATTGTGAGTGTCTTTTCTGTAACCAGGGATTGGGGAAAAGGTTAGAGCGCGCGCGCGCACACACACACACACACACTCTAGAGAGTAGAGTCTAGAGAGAGAAAGAGAAAGTGGTGGAAATCGTGTGATTTTTATAGAAGCAGCTCCATGAAACCAAGCGTTTCTTCTTCTTCTTCTTCTTCTTCTTCTTCTTCTTCTTCCTTGTTTATTGTTCTCAAATTTACATTTTGTATTTTATATTGAATAAAAACTAATTTTATTTCTTTATGGATAAAAAAAAATTCAAAGAAAATACATTAACTTAATTTAAATAATTAAAAGTGTTTGCTAGGCGCCCGAACAAAGTTTCTTATTGCCTCCCGACATAGTCATGTTACCTATTCTTCATTTTCTCACAGACCAACACGAGTTCTTCTGACATGTTTTATTTTCGCTCATATGTAAAATGAAGGTGCACTTTATTGGCATATGTAGTAACTAGTTGTCTTATTCTTAGAATTGCTCTCATTTAGTTGTGATCTCATTCAGTACTCGTCCTTTTTTTCAAGTGTCACAAATTTTTTTCCGTACATTTTTTATAAGACTCTTTAATTTCAATTCTCGAGGTCAACAAATAAAATGGAACAAATTTAAAATCTACGTGAAAAATCCATCCGTCTCTAATATTATTTTTGTGCATAATTATAGTTTGAAATGAAGTTGAACAGAACTATATTACAAAATTGAAAGAGACGATATAAAGGTAACGTCGGTATTACATTTTTTGCAATATTAGGGTTCGAGAGGGCATCCCGAACATCGTCTTGCTCGGTAGGGATTTTAAAAAATTATAATTATGTAAAAATATATTATTTAAAACAGTTTTTTTTTTTTAAATAATATTAAAAAATAGAGAAAAATTCTCCCCTTACCAAAAATTAACGAGATTATTAAAATAGAAGATTCATGGAGAGAAGTATACTCTACAGCTCATCTGAGTTCGTGGAAAAGATCTGAGCCGTTGATGAGAGAGTAGGGCCCAGGAAAAGATCTGATGGAGACGTGATGTGAAGGTGTTTGATTGGTGGGTTATTATTAAATGTATTGTATAGGAAGGACACAAATAATTATTGTCCCACGTTCCAACATATCAATCACTCATTTTTAACCATTTTACCCAAAACTCACCGTTTTCTTCCTCAATTTCTGCCCATGTTGGATAAAGTCTCGACCTATTATGGTAATTTCACTCTAACTCAACCCTACTTAAATGAATACGAGATTCGATGTAGTAGCTTAAACCCACCGCTAGCATGCATTGTCCGCTTTAACAGTTCGTTACATATTGTTGTCAGCTATTTACAAAGGAGAGGTTAAATGTTTTGTTAAACTAAAAATAATGCAAAATATTAAGAATTAATTAAAATAGATGTAACATGGAAAGTATTGAATCATGGTACGGAATGGAGACATGAACATGATTGTTTGGTCGTGAATCAAAGCTAATGGACAACTCTCTAAACCCTCCAGCTATCTTTTTTTTTTTTTTTCTTTTTTTGCTAGTCTCATTTAATTTTCTTTCTTCGTACTTCCCTTAATTAATTAATTAGTTATTAACTAATTAGTCATTTATTTAATATGATTTAGAGAAGTGATTTATTTTCAAAAAAATAATAAATTAAATCGTTGTTGTAGTGGAAATATATTTATTAAAAATTATAATTTATTTTCAAAAAAATAATAAATTAAATCGTCTCTTAACCCAATAATATCAGCTTAAATATTTGTGAAAAATATTCAGTCAAAAAGGCACAAATTTATTAAATTACTTTTATCAATTAAATGTATATAAAACTCTCTACCTTTCTAAACCAAAATTTTAGACCAAATCTCGTAAATATTCTTTTTAGATTCTATTTGGCGAAAGAAATAATAATTATTGGTGAATTTTATTTCATTAAATTAAACTTTATAATATCCAACAAACGTAGATATTTTTTAAAAAAGTCTTTATATATATATATATATTATATGAAGACATTAATGAATGGGCCAAATATGTGTCACAAAAACAAAATATGGACTATACATTATACACTACAAGTTGTAGAACATGAATAATTCAGATAAAGACAAGAAACTCCCTATCATACATAAACCTAATATGTTTTAAATATATTTTAAAAATTACATAAAAATATAAAATTATCGAGAATAGCAGTTCAACATGGAAATTGATAGTTCTACGTTCAAATTTATGCAATTATTGATAGATAAGATCGACTAGTTTACATGGCTAAAAAGAATCTAAGTAAGTATAAATAAGTTGATGAGATTTAATCGTAAAGTGGATGTGAACGTATTAAATATTTGAAAACGATGTGTGTGAGAAAAAAAATTCGGTGCATGATTTCGAGTGAGCTTTGTTTGAATGATTGTCAAATTGTTGACTTTTCGGCGTATGATTTAACACCCACGACTGTGGCGGACAAACATAAATTTCTTCAAAATATGATTTTCGCAACGTCGTTATAGTATAGAAATGATCCGTACGTATGATTTTAAGCTTTTAATTATATAATTCAAATATATTAATTGATCTAAATTATTAAAAATATATAATAATAATAAATTATTAAATATTTATTGGTGTGGAGAGAGAAAGTGAAAGGGGGAAGAGAGAGAAAGTGGGGATTGGGAAAGAAAAAGTGAGAGATGCGAAGAAAGGGACAGTAGAGGGATTAGATTTGTGGGCCCCACTCGTAAATTCTGTCATTAGATTTTCCTAGTTCCACTTTCTTTTATTTTTATTTTTATTTTATTTTATTTAATTTTTAACGCCAACCCGAATCCATTCCATCCGAACCTGAGGCTCGGTATTGACAAAAATATCGAAGTCTTAATTTCATAGAAAAGGGATGTAAAATATCGATGATTATTAATATTTATTTAAAAATAAATGAATAATAAATATTCTAATTTATAACTCATCCATTTTTAACATAATACTACTAAATTATATATTAAAATGTAATAAATAGTGAATTATATATTTTTTAAAAAATAGAATAAATAAACATTTGAAAATGAATAAGAAGAATGACCAACAACCAATTATCCCTTTTTATAATAATAATAATTAATAATAGTAATTATTGTTATAATTTTTAATAGAGAATCAAATGCCAATTACCAACTACTTTACGACTAATAACTAAAGTTTGTGAAGAACAAATCATTTCTAAAGCCATTGTGTGGGGCCCACAAAATACCACGCTTTCAATTTCAATTCCTTAATTAGTCTACAAAAACATGGTATAATTAGTCGTTAATTACGGTCTCTAATCTTTGTCGTTAAGGACTTTAACGTTTGTCGGACAATGACTTTTAAAATTATTAAATCAAATACAAAAATTTAAATAGATAACTCAAACAACCTTAATGAATTCAACCCTTAGGCTTAAAAAATGTCTCAGACTGATCTAACCTAACTACGAACGCTCTTAGTAATATCCGCAAAACTTGTGAAATATTTTAAAGTTTAAGGCTGTATTTATTTCACCTCCCTTTAAGGAACGGACTTTATTTATCATTTGTTGACCATATCATCTTTCGTGTGATTATTCAAATTACGTTTACGAAATAATAAATTTTTTCTATTGATCTCTATGAAGGGTCCCACTTAAATTATACCAAAAATTTAATGAGAAACCCTAATTCTCAAAGGGAAAACAAACACAAAATCAATTTAGGGTTTGTAAAAGAATTTCCTTTTTCACTTTGTCTTTTTTTGTTCTTTTTTTTTTCTTTTTCTATAAGCTTTCCTTATGCAAAAAAAAAAACACAAGAGAGAGAAAGAGAGGAGAGAGAGAGATTGTTTGTTAGATCATGTTTTGGGCGACATTGAGTTTCCAAATAAAACATATTTTAATTTAAAAATAATAATAATAATAATTCCATCTCTAATCATTTATTTATGATAAAAAAAAACCAACATGCCCCATAATTGCTAATCATTTTCTTGCTTGGTCAAATCCCTTAATTAATTTTCATTAATCAATCAATTAATTAATTCCATCAATCTAATCCCCTTTCTTATTTGCTAAAAATGGCATTTTTTATTTCAGGAATATTATCCTTTTTTAGTGGGGTTGACTTTTTTTTCTTCTCTTACGACCATTAATTAAGTAAAAGAATAAACCAAAATTACAATAATGATATTTGGAACAATTTATTAATGGCGTCCTAACTTTTGGTTAAATAAATATTGGACCTTTATTATTTATGGGGATTTTCTAAAATAAAAAGGCTGAAAAATATACAATAAATTCAGGTATTTGTGGATCCAAGTTTGAACAACTTTTAGGTATTCAAAGCATTTAAAATTAGGGTTGGTATAAGTAACATCATTTACTTATTTTATAATTTTATATTATAGTTTTTTTAATTAATTTTGTGATTTTAATCCATCTTATATCATGACCTAATTCATACCAAATTTATATTTTTGAAGTCTTTTATATTTATTTTGTATTTGGGTTTTTAGAAAATTAAATTTGTAATTTTGAAAAAAAGCGAATATATAAATATTTATTATAAATAGATCATATGGCAAAATTTAATTAGTATCATTATTGTAGAAGGAAAGTCCAACCCATTATTAACAATTTGCATAAAAAATGAAAGAACCAACTCACAAGAAAGTAGTCCACAAGCCCAATTTTTGGACCAATTTCAGACAGCATAGGATCTTTTTTGGTTCAGCTCAGCTACAATAATATTTTTAAAATAAAAATAAAAATACAATTCATGATAAACTCCATACCTCTAATTACGGGGAATCAAGAAAATATTCAACACTAAGCTTATAAAGTTGTGATTAACGGTCGAAGAACGTTGAAATAAAAGCTTTATTTCGATAACCATTTGATTTTTTATTTTGAAGATTAAGCTTATAAGCACTATTTCCACCTATGAGTTTCTTCGTTTTATCGTCCAAATTTAGCTAAGAATTCATTCCGAATATAAAGAATTTTGCTAAGACAGATCAAGAAACTCGCTTCAATAGCTTTCTCTAGTGGATTATCTACAAATTAAGAAGCAGAAACTTTATATTTAAAAGTTCAAAAAGGAAAGGATGATCACTCATCTTCTTCGAAATCCATAAGAAAATCAGTCAAGTTCTCAGAGTCGTCAACGGCTCCCTCCAGTGATGCTGGATCCTCCTTCTT